AAATCCTAATAGAAAAGACTAACAAATACAATCATGTTTTTTTACTGGCAAAGTTGATAAGTAATTGAGGAGGTGTCAATCAAAATCAATCATGTCCATAAAAATCAAAAAATGAGTTAGCAGCTGTTTCATAATATAAAAAGTGAATCCTATTCTATGGTGTTTTCGGTTTCGGTTAAAAAAAATCATGTCCTGTTTAAAATGAATACACAATATTAGGTTCCCAAATCAAATGAAATCATGTCCACAGTTGGTTTCAATCATACCACCACATGTCCATTCAGCTAATAGGAGTGCCCCGATTTGGTCACGTGATTTGACCATGTCAACACATTGTCTGTGTTTTCCCTCTAGGTTATGTCGATAGCGAGTATTGAGTTTGTATTGCACTGTGGTTTAATTTTAATATTATTATAGTAGTTTTTATTAAATAAAATTGAAATTTTCCATGGATGAAGAAAACTTAGTGAGAGTGGGCGATGCCAATGAAGGATCTCGTAAAAATAAAAAGACTGTGGATAAAAAAACTAGAGCCAAGCTTAAGCGATACAGTACTCCAGTGGGATGTCGTGTGTTTGTTCCATGTAAACACATGAACAAAGGTATGAAATGTGCATTAGTTAGGCCTATAGATGCTATTTTTGTTCGAAATATCCTCTACAAAATACCTGACAAAAACACGCAAGATAACACCATTGCCAGTTGGATAAATCAACGTAACATAAAGCGGCGAAGGCCTAGGCCTACCTCTGAAAAATCAAAGGCTAAAAGTTTTAGTGTACAATAATCTATACTTTCATTAACCGGTAAAGTTATACCTGTGTGTGAAACTTTTCATGCATATTACCATGGTGAAGGGAACAAGATTGACTAATATTTCTAAAAAGGTGAAAGAGGGAAAGGCTGTTAAGGATCAGAGGGGTGGCGATAGGAAGACTCACAAATCTGCTGCGAACAAGGAACCAGTCCGCCTTTTTTTGAGAAATTTAAGAGGAAAAGAAAGCCACTATAATCGAAAAAAATCGAGAAGGATTTATCTTGGTGCAGACTTAAACATTAAGAAGTTGTGGCTAATATACAATGATTCTGTACTTGATAATCTTAAAGTTAAGAAATCTATGTTTAGGAGAGTTTTCAATGAATTAAATATCGGATTTTCATCACCAGCTTCTGACGTTTGCAGTACATGCAATAAAATAGATCTTCAGCTGAAAATTGAGAAGGCTAAAGCTGTGAAAGACTTGGTAGTGGTCAACCAATTTATGATGGAGAAAAGAATACACAGATTAAGAGCTAATGCTTTTTATGGGCTCTTAAAGGAAAACAAAGAAAATGAGGTTACTTTCTGTTTTGATCTCCAGCAAATTCAAGCACTTCCCAAAACTCCTATTCAAGACGCGTTCTACAAAAGACAATTAAGTTTTTACTCTTTTTGCATTGTAGCATCAAACGCACAAAACCCCATATTTTACGTATGGACTGAAGAACTTGCAGAAAGGGGTGCGACCGAAGTTTCATCTTCACTTATAAATTTCTTGAACTCCGCTAATTTTTCAAATGTAACAAGACTGAATCTATTCTGTGATGGGTGTGCCGGTCAAAACAAAAACAATGCCGTTGTTCACACATTAGTGTATTACTTAGGATAAGTGCAAAATGCTTTAGAGGAGATTGTTCTAACATATCCTGTTCGCGGGCATAGCTTCCTCCCCGCTGATCGGGTGTTCGGAAGGGTTGAAAAGTTACTCAGGAAGCAGCCTACCATTGCAACAAAGGAAGAGTACTACAATGTATATAGTTCTGTTGGAGAAGTACGGAAACTTGGAGAAGATTGGGGATTGATTGACGCTAAAAGTTTGGCTACACGATTTAAAAACATTGAAATGATATCTGAAAAGAAGAGGATTTTTGTGAGGAAAGAGAAAGCTGTCAACCGCAATGGACAAGAACTTACTGTTATCAAAGTGAAATCGGCACAGAATTTTAGGTTTGAAAGTGATTTTGAAACCTACAACAAGCCTCAAAAAAAAGGCTGGCATTTTGCAAGGTCGTTCTCAACTCCTGTAGAGTCACTTCCACTGAGCAATATAGTGAAAGCAGCTAAGAAGAAGGACGTGGAGACGTTACTTGTGAAAATGTATGGTGATGACTGGCAGAAACATGACTTTTTATCTTGGTATAAGACCATAATAGTGGAAGTCCAGGACGACGAAATTGATGCTGATGAAGTGGACGAATCCTGTGATTGTCTAGAACCTGACATTGGACTACACATTTAAACATTTATATTTTGTGGAAAGTGTCGTTGGTAAATGTTAGCCATTTTTCAAGATATTTTTTGTAACAATACAATAGATATTCTAAGTAGTCTAAGAGTTTTTTTATCAACCCCTTCTATCAACGTCCATGAAGTCCAATCAAATAAGAACATGTCCTTTTTTTAAAATGTATTTACAGGTTTATTTATACCTTCAGATTTGAAATATTTACTAAGAATCAGTTAATTTCAATAAATATAATGATATATGCTAATTTATCCAATTTTTCATGTAAGGTTATTTACTAATACTAAGGTAAACATGATTGATTTTGATTGACACTTTTTAAATATTATTCATTTTCATTGACGTTTTGATGGAGTAAATGTTTACCACCGCTGGAATCTTCCCAGAAGGCTGGCTTAGATCGACATTTATACCTATACCCAAAAAAAAATAAAGCAAAAGCAAATATGTGCTCACAGTTCAGTTTAATTAGCCTGATGAGCCATTTTCTGCAAATTTCACTTAAAATTGCACATCAACGAATATACAGAGAATGCAAAAGAAACCTGAGCGACTATCAATTTGGATTTCGTATGGGGTTTGGGAGGCATTATTTGGCCTCCAGATATTACTACAAAAATTTTGAGATCACCGAAAAGACGCGTTTTTCTGTTTTATCGACTACGAAAAAGCGTTCGATCGAGTAAAACACACAGAACTCATAGAAACTCTAAAACAACATGATATAGACCAGAACACTGTAGCACTTATTAAAAAACTATATTGGGATCAAATGGTGTCGACCATTTGATCCCAATATAGTTCAACTCTAAAACAACATGATATAGACCAGAACACTGTAGCACTTATTAAAAAACTATATTGGGATCAAATGGTGTCGACCAAAATAGACAATCGTCTGACAGCAGAATTGCCAATAAAAAGAGGTAGGTGTTCGTCAAAAAAAGGTACGCAGTCGACACCGTCATTATTGCGGACAGTGCTGAGGGTTTACAACGACTTTTGAATGTCATAACCGGAGAGGAATATATCTTGGGACTAAATATAAACACAAATAAAACAAAAGTAATGGCTCTTACACGTGCAAAAAATGTCGACATTAATATTCGTATCTATAACAAACATATAGAACCACTATAAACATTTTAGTATCCTGATTGCTGGATAACAAACGATCTTGACCACGAGGTCGAAATATGTGCTGGTATAGAATATGCTATAATTTCAACGAATGAAAACATTTCTAATACCACTCTACGTTATCGTTGGATATCCAATACAATTTATAAAAACGTTTATTAATTCCATATTGCTATACGGAGTGGAAACATGTACTCTCAGAATTACAAGTATGAAGCGTAGGGAAGCCTTTGAGATGAAAGTTTTTCGAAGGATGCTGTAGATCTTTTGGAGAGAGCACGTGACCAACAACGAGATGCTAAGAAGGATGGTACTTTGAGAGAACTTCTAAATATTGTAAAAAACAGAAAAACGAGTTATCTAGGACATATTTACAGAGGAGAAAAATATAACTTCCTACGACTTATAATATAATGGAAGGTAAAGTGAAAGGAAGAAGAAAATGCCCCTGGTTGAATAATGTAAGAGACTGGACAGACATAGACACACATTCGATACTAAGAACAGCTCAAGATAGAGAGCTATTTGCTGTAGTTATAGCCAACATTCAGTAATGAAGAAGGCACCTTAAGAAGAAGAAGAAGAAATGTTTACCAACGGTTTCTGAGAAAAGTTCTTCTTTGCCTATTCGAGCATTTAAATTATCCAATTTTATTGAAAAAAAGTGGTTTTAAAGTGAACAAACAAGTTTTTATAACATGTTTAAAAAATATACATAAATAGGTTCCCCTGGAAAACTTTTTAACATAGCATACTGGCATCATAATCTATCCATTAAAATAAGTTTTGAGCTTGTGGTTAGGAAATTGATCTTTTTCGCCGAAAGCCATCAGCCTATAACAATTCAGGACCATAGAATCAGCTCTAAATGAATTTCTTTTTTGTTAACAAGAAAATTTATGACTATTTTTATAAAACGGTTTAAAATTTGAAAAACATTTTTTAAATAAGTAATAATTTCCTTTCTTAAGTCAGAAATTCTCGTTGTTCATAATCTTTAGAATGTCTTTTGTTTTAGCCAGTACATGGAATAAATTTGAATGCCAAAAGAAATATTTCGAAAATTACATTGATGCAACAATCATTTGCATATTTGATAAAATAGTTACATATTATAATATTATTCTACAGTGGTAATGGAGCAGTGTTAATATTATTCCACAGTAAATTTACGTATCTCTTTGCAGTCAAATTAACTTAAATCAATAATGAACTGATAGTAAAAGTGATATATCCATTTTTAAAACGTTTTATATCGCTCTTGAAACAATAGTCTACTTCCTCCGCTAATTAAAACTTTTCAAGGATTATAAAAAATTGAGATTAAAAAGGAACACTGTTGACGGCATCGTAATGCAAAAGTAAAAAATTTGCACCATATGTTTTTAAAAAAAATTATTAAAACTAATATTAAAATCTTAAAACATCATACAAAAGTGAAGAGAAAAATATCTAACAAAAAGATAACCATAGAGGTAAGTTATTTTAGAAAGCATCATTAATTGTCAAACTAGTAATATTTTAAATCACAGACGGATTGAATCTTCCCTATAATATATAGAGTTAGTTACTAACCTTTACTGTTTCTTCTCCCAAATCACTTTTTATGTACCGTTTTTCTCTTTCTGATATCCATGGATGTTTGTCAGGACTATCCGCTCCAAGAAAAAAATAAAGTATCACCCAGAGATACCCTAAGCCTCCATAAAGGTAAAATGACGCTGGCCAGCCCCACCAGCTAGACGAAATATATCCTACTATTGGCATAGTAATAATTGTACCAAAGGGTGAGCCTAAAAATTAGGTTTACATAAACTATAGAAATTTTTCGGACGACGAGAAAGTTATGGGTAAGTAAATTATAAAATACACGGTTGCCAAATTTAAAAACGTTTCACTCTTCTGAATATTTTTAAAAGATTATTCTGTAATGTCTGAAAATTGTATTGTTTTATTTGATTTGATAAGATACTCCTGTATTAAACGTGTCAAATGTGGAGAATATTGGAAATAATGATGTAGTTGAAGACGTTACAGGAAGCGAAAGAAAGAAGTTAAGAAATGAAAGTATATGGGGAAAACAAGTAAGAAAACAAAACGAGATGCCGGTGAAGAGTACTAAAATATTAGGAGTAATGTTGTGCCATCTAAAACGTTTATCGCCAGTGAGTATGATTGACGCTTAAAATGTAATGAGAAGGTACCTGATGACATCCAGAAAAAACATTCATGAGATATTTTATGAGGTAAAATCCTGGGATGCTCAAACAGTCTGGTTGTGCAGCACTGTAATAATAATACTACCAAAAAGACCATGTAAACGAAACAGGCATCAACTAGCTAGTTGTAAATTACGTAGTAGACAATTTGTGTTAAATAATCAAAAGTTATTTATTTAATTTAAAAAAAAAGTGTTTAAAAATAAGCAATCACCGCTTGGACAATGCCTTAAAAATTAAAAATTGCAATGGTAGCACTCTTTTATCTCCGAATTAGAGAGGAATGAAAGTTCCAGGGAATAAGATCTCAGAGGAGAAGGTAAAATGTTTACCTTTAAGAAGTTTACCTAGATACAGAAGCCATTACAAAGATAGGGTTTTAAGTAAATTGTATTTAGAACCTATATTAACTGTAACAAAGATGTATATGTTATTCAAAAATAAATGTGAGGCTGAAGGAAAATGTGCAGATCACCTCTCCATGATCGTGACTGCCCATCCAATCTGTCATGTGTCACATTTCCGTTAAAACCGGGAGCCATTCTCTCTCTCCTGTTGCCGACCATAATGTACCTTCGCCTATTTTAAAAAAAAATTAACTGTTTGTCCTTGTGTAGTGTAGTGTAATGTACAATTTTATGTTTATGACATTCTATGATTGTTGGATAGGCCAAAATTGACGAAGTAAGTCTAAAACGTTAATCACATTAAAACTTTTATCAACCATTAACTTCGAATTTTTTATCGAAGTTAATTCATGTCTTCAGTTAAAAAAACGTTTCTTGGCTTAATTCAGATGCCCCTGAAGATGCTCTAGGAAGCGAAAGTAATTCGTCATAAAACGTTTCCCTTGTTGTTTGAGGCTTGTTATTTTCTGGGTTGCAAAATTCGATGATGTTCACGTCTTCCTTCTCCGTTCTTATCTTTGCTATTACAATCCCTTTTGATATGTATTGGCACTTTTTGATGTGATTTATTTATAAATGATGGCCAATATTCTAGTTTGACGAGATACATAGTTTATTGTGAATTTTCGTGACACCGTTTGATAATAAAATAATTAATATTTAAAACAAAAGCAAAAATATAAATATTTCTTCTTGTTCGACACCAAAATTCAAATACCTACATAAATATGTGCCTTTTACTTCCACATTTCGCTCCATTCATTGTCTGCACTTTTTGCTTTATTCTTAGTTGTCACCGTATGCATTTTTAGGAAGATATTTCATTATTACTTTCTTTGACGGAAAATATTTGATTTCACATTTAGGGCTTTTTACTGTATCGTTCTGATGAGTCGAAAGGACGAATTACATATATAGACTAGGCGGGATCTGTAGAAATTAAGACTATAATGGACATTTTCCTTAGAAAGCTATTTTTTGCTGGAATCCCTTCAGGATGTGCCCAATATCAATAATCACGATATGCGCCAGTCACAAACCCTGTGCTAAATTTTTTATTTAACAAAATCTGAAAACAAATGAAAATTTCTCATGTTTTTGCTCCTATTTTCGTTTATAATTCGGAAAATACTAATCCTAGAGAAAAAATTATAAAAAGTTAAAAGTTTCGTTATTTAATTTTACACAATATTTCGTTAGCTAGAAATTGAAAAAATAGCAATAATTAAAAAAAAAAGAATTAAAAAAAAATGAAGTTATTCATTTAAATATTTTTGACTTTCTAAATTTGACTTACAAGCTCCATATTCTGCCTAGAAAAATTGCAAATTTTTTTAAATATAAAGGAAGGCTCAATCTTTCAAATGCTTTGTGTAAAATTCAAATCGGTTTACCAGGAGAGCCTAGAAATTTTTTTAAAGTTTTAAACATTTTTTAGGCTTATAAACAAATTGAATAACTTTACGAGCTTTAAACATATCAAGTTCAAAATTTATACACTTAAAGAACATTAAAAGACGTTTCTTTAAAAAAAAAGATACATTCGGCTTACTGGTTGCCGAGATATTGAAGGTCAATGTTGGCATACATTTGCGGTGTAACCATAAATGATAGAGAGCTCGTTTTTAAACAAATACCCTCGTACAGATCGAAGATGGAGATATTGAAATGAAAAATGAAGGTTTTGAGGAAGAAATAAGACCTGAAGATTTTTGTTCTTGCAAAAAAAGAATAAGACTTTAAAAAAATTATTGAAGATTGAGTCAAAATAAAGTTTATTTATGAAAAAAAAATTTTTAGGTCTTGACTATTTCGCGGTATCCCCCGTCAGGCAATGGGAGATTTCCGTGTATTTGCATTTAAGTGGTAGGTTAGCCCATTTGGCTTTATCACTACCGGTCAAAGCAATTGTTCGGCGATCTAATGATGGTTGTGTGTGCCGATACGTGCTTTTCCTTTTCTGCAACAAGTGCAGTCAAGAGCGAGCAAGCATCGAATCCTTTCATCCGTCGTCTAATACCCAGTCATTCGTCCAGTCATATCCTTAATCCACCTTACTTAAGAGCCTCGTGCGGCGTGCCTCCGGCTCTCTCCTGCATGCGGTTTTTGTTTTATTTTTGGTGGTTAGTACCCTTTTGTTTAATTTTTCTATCTACGTCTTAATCTGTGGACAGGTATCATCACTATATGACTCGCTATCCGATTCATCTGAATCTTCAATTGTACGAATAATTAAAGGTCTTACTTCATCAATAACTTGTTCTATTTCATATGACTCTAAAATTTTTTTTTCAGTATACATTTTCGCCATTGTTCCTCATTGACTTGGTTTAGTGCATCTTGCCAGAGTTGTAAAACGCTGGCTTCGTCGGTGGTCTTACATGCATATTTATCATAGTAGTTTTTAGTGATGCCCCACACCAATTCAATTGGATTGTACTGGCAGTGATAAGGTGGTAGTCTTAGGATCTCATGACCATATTTTAGTGCCATTTGGTCAACGACAAATTTCTTCTCAGTAATGTGTTGTTTGCACTCATTTAATAATTCAGCTTTTAAAACTAGATGTTCGTGTTCTAAATTTTTCTCCGACAGCCACTTTCTTTAGTTTTCTTTTTTCCAGCTGCTTGTGGGAAACTTTTCTTCCTCTCTGGTTTGATACGAAACATTATCTAAGACTATTATTGACGGATTTTCCAGATTTTTTAATAATTTTTCCTCAAACCGTTTTTCCTTAAACCAATGTTCACAAATATCGGCTTCCATATTTCCGTGGTAATCATCAGTTTTTTTTGTCGAAGAAAATATAAGACTAGCATTGGGTATAAAACCTTTCGTATTTCCTGCATGGATAATATAATATATCTTTTGCCATTACTTGCACTAGTACTCGAATAGTATTTGGTAGAATCATCTTGCCAGGATGATTTGGTATTATTTCCTTTCGCCAAAATCCATGTTTCGTCAAGAACACAAATTGTCTGGCAAATTCGGAATTTTTATTTTTTAAATAGTTTCTTATAAATTTCCACCTTTTTACAACAACATTGGACAGCTCGCACAAAACTTTACGATTATTGGTTTTTTTGTATCTAAAACCCATAGCTTTTAATATTTTTGATAAACTGGTCAAACCCATATCACAGAGTTCTCTGTCCTTTATTTTTTGAATAAGTGTCTTTCTTACTTACTTACTTAATTCCTCCTCGCTCATTTTGCAAACTCTTTGCAAGGTCCGTTCTGGAAATTCCACAAACAGCACTTGTCCTTTTTTGGACTTGAATACTGATGTCATTGGTCCCATGTTGATTTTTTCTAAAGTAAAATAATTTTTCACTTTCCACACGCTCACTCGGAGATAAAAACTTTTATTTAGGTGTTCTATCGTTTTCTTGTACGTTATCCATTGTCACTATCGAAAACCGGCGATCGTTGAATACTAGCGAGATTTTTCTGAGCTCTCTGAATATATATACGAGGGGGCGGGGCCTCGGTGGCAGGGCGCGTCGGTCATTGGCCGATGAGTCCGGACAATGGAGAGCCTCGACTCCACCGACTGTTTACTATTTTTGCAAATATAACAACCAAAATTATCCAGTTATGCGACCGTAAGGAATGGATGCACTCCTCGAGACAATTTTATTTGAAATAAAATTATAAAAGTTTTTTCAATAAATTATCATCACAAAGCATTCAATTTGCGATTTTTCACGATTTATAAAAAAATTGTTTTGGTAGAGCTGATTTATCCTCAAGTACTACTTAATCCGAAATACGACAGGGTAAAACGACTTCACTTAAGCTAATAGTTAATATACTTGTTCGTGTAATTCTTTTTAAATTCGTTACAACATAAAAAATTGTAAATATAGTAACACCGTTCTAATAAATTTCACAGTATGCATAGATTTATAGATATGTAATACAGCTTATAAATTTCTAGCTTACCAGCAAATGCTATTGAACTAAATACTCCTCTTTCTGATATAGGCGACCATAGTGATATCAAATTATGAATAGATGGGTAGAAAAATCCCTGAGAAAGTCCTTGCAAACATCTACATAACATAACTCCATACGAACCCATCAAATGAGCAAATAGAGGTAGAAGACAACTTAATGTAGAGTTAATAGTCATCGCTATTAGAAGAAACCATTTGGTACCATATACTCTTCCTACGTTCCCTGCAATTACTTGAAGCCAAAGGTAACCCCACAAAAAGGATGACAACATTGTACTCTGATTGTCCCAATCATATACCTTAAAAATATATTTATATGTTAAAAAGATATTATTATCAACAAATTCAGGCAATATTGTTATGATGTGTTGTTGTTGTATGAGCTATGAATAAATTTGAATGATATATGTAAGTATAGGGTTTTTATCGCGGTTCTCAAAGAATTAGTTTGTAAGTACTTTTTTAAATTATCTTTATTATAACTATTATGAAACAAACCTATCTATCTAACATAAGCAATATCAATTTAAAACAATCTATCTAAAATTTGAAATTCTTACAATTATTAAATTATTAACAAAATTTGGTACCTTCTTTCACTGAACGCCTAAAGTTTTTCCAAAATTAAAGTTATTATCACCACTCGATATTTTCTTACTAATCCTTGGTTATCCAACTATTTTAATATGTTTCTTCTTAATTATCTCCACTTACCATATAAATATATAAATTTAAATCCTTGTAATTTCCATATAATGTACTTTTAAATATACTGGATCTTGTGGTTGTATTATTGAATGCTTACTTCAATGAATTAACTTCATACTATCACTATTTTACTGTAGTAATAATTAATCTCAACTGTATTAGACTTAATAATTCATTTAACTTAATCAATCCCTTCTTCTAGCTAATAATCTCTTCATTACCTCATAAATTCTTGTTAATTATTCTTTGTAATTAATAATCACATGTAATTGACTTAATAATCCTTAAATTGTTATAACTAACTCCTCAATAATAATCTTGTAACTGATTTAATTTCTTCTAACTAACTTACTTACTCAATTAATAATCTTCTTGTAACTATATTCTTGAATTATAACTTCACTGACTCACTTTACTAATTGTAACTAACTAACTGACTGACTTCTAACTGATAACTGATCATACTGATAACTGAACTGGTAACTTAACTCCTCCTCCAAATTACATGGCTTTTTATATATCCTTCCTCTTTCCAGAATAATCTAGCAATAAATAATGTTCGAATCATTCTATTTGTTCTATCTGAATATTCTGGAATCGTTTTTTGTCTGTGATGTATTATGCATATAGTCCCATTGACATTTCTAGAACTTTCTATTTACAATTTACTTGACTTTAGGCTCTCCAGATCAGAACTACACTACTATATGTAACTTAAACATTTATATGAAATATATTTTTACTATTCTACATCCACAATTATATTCTAAATTAACATTACAAAAATAAATAACTTTTTGACTTTGACACTACAGTGTATGTTTGGTTGCATATGCGCATGGCTGACTAAACATATTAAATATTAAATAAAATAACAAAAAAAAACTTCTTAAACTTAATTCCCTTGCCAAATTCTTAAAAATACCCTCATATAATTACTTTTTAATAACATTATCCAGTATATAACTTATAAACTATGTCTCCAATTACCATTCGAATAAACCCATTAATTAACATTGTATATCTGGTTGTATATATTTCTATGTTAATTCATTGCATTTCTGATCTCACTACAATATATATATATATATATATATATATATATATATATATATATATATATATATATATATATATATATATGATTTCAGTTGTTTTCCGGGTTTGACTCCGCGTTAAGTAATTTTGGTTTTTAGAAAAACCATTGTTTTGACGACGTTTCGGCAAGGTCACACTTGCCATTGTCAAGTCAGATTAGTTCTGCTTCGTCTTGATGTTTCAGGAGAACTGACAACTGAATTGATAATGGCAAGTGTGACCTTGCCGAAACGTCGTCAAAACAATGGTTTTTCTAAAAACCAAAATTACTTAACGCGGAGTCAAACCGGAAAACAACTGAAATCACATATAGCTCCCGCGGAAGTTTCAAATCCAATATATATATATATATATATATATATATATATATATATATATATATATATATATATATATATATATATATATATATATGTATGTATGTATGTGTGTATATGCATATTATAGGTATTTGTGTCAAATAATATGCTGCCCTGTTAAGAAAGGAAGTCGTATCTGCAATTTTGAGTTTTTTAGGTTTTAACGCCAACACATTGATAGCTAAATATTCTACCTATATGTTAAGAATGAAAGTCCTATCTGCTGTTTAAAAATAAGTTATTCCACTTTAAAATTTTGTCAGATCTGCATTTTTACAGTTTATGTTAAGCCAATTTGTCGAAACTTCATTTGTTAACATTTTTAGCCGTATCTTCACAAGACGATTTGTAGTTACGACAAATTTGCATTTGCTTAACAATTGTGTAGTTTCGACAAAATATTCTAACAACAGGAAGAACTTAACTAATTATTCATAGTGTTCCCGCCTTTTTGTTTCTTAACCTAAAAATTAAATGGTTGTAAGCGTTATTCGGCGTATCTGATTTTTAGTTGTTTACTATTATTAATTCTATTATTATAGTGTTTTTAAGTGTGTTTACATTAAAGTTTATTAACTGAACCAGTAACAATAGACAGAAGCAGCAGAGCATTTATAATCTGGATATTTTAAATAACTAACAAAGGGAGAAAATACATAGTTTACGACGACGTGGCGTAAAGAAACCTAAACTTCAGCATGATAATTACCCTGATTTTATTTTGTCAGATTCAGAGACTAAAGAAATTGAGGAACCAAAATTAAACAGAAAAGGTTTAAATAAAGTAAAGATTATTAGTGATATAACTTTGAGAGCTGCAAATGTTGTTCCTGAAGAATCTGATTCCAAAGGTGAAGAAGAAGGCAAGGAATACTGTGAAGAAAAAAAAAAAGAAAATTTACAGCCACAATTGTTAAGTACGGTATAAAACCATCTTACATCTCTTGCAAGGGAAGATGTTCCGAAAAAATTACAGAAGCGAGACGAACAGAAATAAATGGAGAATTTTGGAAATTGCAAAAAGCCAAACAGAAAATTTTTATTTTTAATAACGCATCTGAACAAGTAACCAAATGGAAAACCACAGTTAGTGTTGTGTCTAGAAGGTCGAAAATTTTTTTATATTTTCTTAAAGACAATGACGGATGCAAACAAAGTGTGCAAAATATTTTTTATGAGAACACTGGGATATGAAAAGAAAAATGAGTTATTAGAGATGCCCTTACTAAAACAAATATTAAAAAGTGACGATCAACAGGAATAAACAAGGAAAGACAGGAAAAATTAAAATAGATCGAAAACCAACAGTACCAACTGCAATTTTATGCCACGAAGAAATAGCCGGACGGAGTAAAGGTCGATTCACACACATCAGTCACGTCACAGTCACGGTACCGAACTGGTCCTGTTTGGTCACAGAACTATCAACTATCTGACAGCTGGAAAACTGTTCGTCAACTGATGAGTGTGAATGCCGGCGCCATATTTGTATTAAAGAATATTTTGTATGACGGATTGTTCGATTCGGCGCAATCACTGTGACAAGATGGTGACGAGACGTGACTGATGTGTCTGAATCGACCTTTAGTCTCACAGTAAGACTCACCAAGACGCTAAAAATATTATAATGTGGCTTGACAATTACTCTGCTCAAAATAAAAACTAGACTTTGTTTAATTTCTTTACATTTATTGTAAACTCTGAGGATATCGCACTTGAAAAATTAAGTATTAAGTATTTCGAGTAAAATTATTCTTAAGTTTATTAAAATGTGCAACTTAAAACTTTGGTGTAGGTATGTAAGTGTTAAGCTCGTTACCTCTGTTAAATCACCAAGTATTTCACCTTTTTACCTATACTTTCCGTGGTCTACACTTTCTGTCTGTGAGTCACCTTGAATGGCCCCTAGGTGCTAAAAGAAATCCTAGTTCCTCTCCCATTGTAATTCTTCTTTTAATTTCCAGAATTGTAGTGTATTTAGTTTAGTTAGATTAGATTATTAAGTGAAATTTATTACACATTTGTTGCTGGCTAGATGGGCACTAGCCCGATTGCCATTTAAAAAATAAAAGTATTTCAAGCCTGGCCATACCTTTATGGCTGCGAACACATTCAACCACCAAATGGAACGCTCCAAGAAGCAAAAGGGTAAAATATACGATTTTAAAGACTTTTCGGATGCAGTAGCAAATGCAGCAAGTAATTGTTATGGAATTAGCTGAATTTTTTGAATGGCAACATGGTACTTCTGCATATAAACTGAATAAAATTAATTCCAAGATTAAGTAAATCAAATGGTTCAAGTAAATTTTCCTAAAGGTAGATATACTTTTTGTACAAAACCAGCTTTACCTCATAGACAGAGAGTGTAGTGAAGTAAACGTTCTACATGTAAAAATTGCAAAACAGGGAATGACAAAACCTTCACCCAATTCCGTTCCTAGAGGCATAACGACTGAAAGAAAACAACTAATTATATCCAAACTCTATGGACACATAGATTCAGACCACTTCTTAGTAGACGCAAAAATAAGAGCAAGAATCTCAAATGCAAAAAAAGGAAAGGGTAAGAAAAGTACTCGCTACAATTTAAAACTCTTGAAAGAGCTCCGTGCACTAGAAAGGTGTCAAAATTACCTTGAACATGAAAGCACAACAGATGAGAATTTAACAGCTAGCGAGCAATGGGATATATGTAGAAGAACAATTAAGGAAGCGGCAAACAACGTCCTAGGACCAGAAGAATCCACTCCACGCAACAGTTGGTTCGACGATGAATGTAAAGATATCACTAAAAGAAAAAATTATGCATATAAACTTATGCAACAAAGAAGAACACGGGATAAGGAGCAAATGTACAAAGATCTTAGGAAGGAGGAAAAACGCATACATCGAAGGAAAAAGCGGACCTTCGAAAACCAGATTATGCAAGAGCTTTAATCATTAAAGGGGCAAAATGAAACTAGAAAGTTCTATAATATCCTAAATAAGACAAGAAAAGAATTTAAACCACGGCTGACGATGTGTAGAGACAAAAATGGACATATAGTCAGTACCGCTGACGCAGTACAAAGCAGATGGGTTGAGCACTTCAAAGAACTACTTGGTACCGAAGTGGAAAATGATGCGTCACC